AGAACTCTTAGATAATTTTGGCCAACGTTGTGAGAACGTTCCCTGCTCGCTGGGATGTTTTACATGCTGTGTTTTGTACTGTACGTGTTTCACATCCTCTGGTCTCCGTGAAGATGAATGTGCTCATTACTTTACTTCCTTTACGAGGTGCGCTGAGGAAACACCGCCAGCATTGTGATAAATTGCTGGTGACTCAGTATTTATACAGGAACACGATGCTAGCTAAGAAATGCTCTTATCTGAGGATATAACGTGGCATCAGTTCATCATTAAACACCCTCAGCCTTACAGATAGCATCGTCGCTGCTGTTCTACCCGTTCACGGACATTCGTTTTACATGCTAAACATCTCTAAACACGAGGACCTTTCCTTTGCGTGTGCGTTTTACCCGACAGATATGCAGCCTGATGCGAGGAGGCATCGCCGAGCGAGGCGGCGTCCGCGTGGGCCACAGGATCATCGAGATCAACGGGCAGAGCGTGGTGGCCACGGCGCACGAGAAGATCGTACAGGCGCTCTCCAACTCTGTCGGCGAGGTGAAGCTGATGCATACCAACACACACACACACACACACACACACACACACGCACACACACACACACACACAAAGAGGACCACCACTTCCACGTCAGCACATGTACAGACACAGCAGATATTGTAATCTATTCTTTGGGCTTTATTGAGAGCAGTAGAGACCGACAGGACAGGGGGAGAAGAATGGGATGAGACCTGCAGCAAAGGGTCGTGAGCGGGACTCGAACCCACGACCGTTGTGTCGGGGATCTACAGCCCTGTTCAGGGGTCGCCCCCTCCACTAGGGGCGCTACAGAGGCGCCCAAATATTGTAATATTTTGACAATCGACTTTGAAAACAGTTTAACGTCTTGCAGGCCTCTGAAGAACTTCATGAAGCAAATAACCTTGAAGGATTATTTCTAGCTTCAGATACATGTTTATCAGCCTCCTGCATTATGAAGTGAAGGCGGCAGGAAGATAAATGAAGATCTAGTGAAGGAGCAGGATGGGAACTGTAGCATCCTGCAAGCCTGGACATTAGAAGTCAGAAGCTGCTCTGAGCTGAGAGTAAAACTGGATTACTGGAGTTGTCAGAGGCAGACGTGAAC